TACGGCCTTACTTACAGCATGCCTCCAGCCTCTGCTCACAGCCCAGTCCCTCCTCCTGTAGCTGCAGAGACTCCGACCACTGGCAGGCAGTGAGAGTTTATTTCAGAGCTCTGCTGCAACTCTGCCTTCTGCTTGCCTTGGTTCGCAGCTGGGCCACACTCAGAACATCATCATCATCCTAGCTTCCCTTTCATAAATATCAGGTATCATCCCGAAGGGCGAGTGGACCATGCGGACGGTGTTGATGCCGAACAGCAAATACTCGTAGTGGATGAGCTGCCGCCAGAAGCCGTTGTTGGGCCGGATGATGGGCCGGCACGAGCGGACCCAGGCGTGAGCACTGGCCAGCGACATGGCGTGGTGCTTCATCAGGTAGGCTATGCAGACGGTGGCTGAGCGGCTCACCCCGGCTGCGCAGTGCACCAGCGTGCGGCCCCCGCGCTCACCCACACTGCGGATCAAGTCGGCAACGGAGTCGAAGCAGGCAGAGATGCGGGCTGTGGGGATGTCGGCCACCGGGATGCGCAGGTACTCGATGCCGGGGTGGAACATGTTGGCCAGCTCAAGGGAGACGTTGATGACGGTGGTGATGCGGTTGGCAGCCAGGAGCTGCGCGTTGCCCGCAGCCACGCCGTCGCTGAGGTAGAGGCAGGGGGTGATGCGGGACAGCCTGTGCCTATGGAGGTGCAGCGCGGCTGTCATAGCCCGCGCCTTCGTCCGGCTGCAGCGGTGGACACTGCTGCTCCTCCTTCCCTGGGAAACAAACAGCGTCGAGCGTAAGTGTAAAGATGGCCACGCACAGAGCGTAGGCTGAAGGGGACCTGAAAGATCATCTAGTTGCAACCTCCTGGTGGCCAGCCGTTAGATTACGCTGCCTAGAGCCCCGTCCAACCCACCCTTGAATGCCTCCAGGAACGGGGCATCCACAATTTCTCTGGGCAGCCTGTCTCGCCGTGTTCCTCCCCTCATCCTTGGGCATGACCAACCCACATGGATGCTTCTCCCTGCCGTCATTAATGAGGTTTTGCCTCATTTTTGAGCCCAGCCCCCAGTATGGCTCACAGTGGGAACACTACCATGAGTACATGGAGCAGGACTAGCCTGAGCTGGGGCATGGCCAGCCCTGTCTCCAGTGTCCTGTGTCATGTTCCCTGTTCTCTGTCACCTGCCAGCCCCACACTGCAGTGGCTGGGCCGAATTCCCCACTCCACTGATTCCATGGTAGCGCTGCATGCACAATGGGGGGCGTGGGGCCATGGATGAGCTGGGTGGTGTGCGGCCCCGTGTCACCTTCTTCCCACCGCCCGAGAGCAGGGAGCCCACCAGGGCCTGGTGAGGGGCTGAGGGACCCCTCGTACTGCTTGGGGGTGATAGGACTCCTCACACTAGTGTGGTGCTGTGGGACCCTCTTAAAACTGCTGGGGGCTGTGGGGCTCCTTCGTGCCATTGTGGGATTGGTGGGACCCTTCACACCAATATAGGGATGGGGGGGCTGCCTCATACTGTTCTAGAGGTGGTGGGATCTCCTCATATAGTTTGGGGGCTTAGAACACACTGACCTGGGGCTGCGGAACCCCTCACATTAGTATGGGGACGATGGGATCCCTCACATCATCATGTGGATTGTGGGACCCCTCCCACTGGTTGGGATCCATGGGACCCCTCACATCAGATCAGAGATGGTGGGATTCCTTACAGAACCACACCAGGTCCCCACGCACCCCAAAAAAGGCATTGCTCGTATCCCACTCTGTGTGACCCGATTTCCTATTGCCCGGAGCAGCTGTGTGGACTTTGACATCAGTGTGGGTGACCATGAGCTCCGCAGCTCCCTGTCCCGATCAGCCGGCCGCTCCAGCCACCATACCCTGCTGCTCCTGGAGAAGAAGGTGACAACCTCCCTCCCCTGGGCCGCCATCCTGCCAGCATAGGGGAAGGTTTGCTGTGCTCTCTGCTGTGTTTTGGAGGCTGTGCTTTGGAAAAAAAGGAGGGAGTTCCTCATCCCCTGGCAGCAAGAGCCACAGATGACGAATGGCTGAAGAATGTCTTGTGCAAACGCTTTGCTCCCAGTTCCTCAGAACCCTGAAATCATCACTTCAGCCCTTAAATCTTCAGCCTGCCAGGTCCTAATGCAGATGCCAAGAGCTTTACTCTGCTTTGGGGCTCTGCGCAGCAGAGAGGGAAACAAATGCTGGAGTGGTCAGACCGAATCTGCCCTTAGATGTCATTGCTAAAATAGCCCTGCAGTGAGACACGAGCAACACGTTGACACCTGTCCTCCCAGGAATGGGAATGAGCCAAAGGTTTTACATCTCAGCTGCCTGATTGCCCCCTAAGGCCTTGTGCTTTGAGCAGTAATGAGTCTGTGAGCCATGGCAGGCGAGACGCCCTCTCCTGCAGGAAGTGAGGATGCCAGGTGAAATCTGGAATTACAATTCAGGGTGTCATCAGGCAGAGCTGGACACTGACGTGTTGAGGATCCTCATCAGCAGCCTCACAGGAGGGAGCTGAGATGTCTTTTCCTCCGTTCACCATTCCCTGAACCTGGGCTGACGGTCACCTGCGTGCTCCGTGCTCAGCAGAACACACAGAGTTATGGGTTTCAAGGAGTTGGGGCAGCGCAGCTGCTGTGAGTGAATTAGCATGAGTGCATCAGCAAAACCAGTGCTGCTCTGGTAGCTGGGCAGCTCCTGCAGTGTGGCACTGAAGGACACGGTTAGGGGATGGGTTGGGGTTGGACTTGGCCATCTTGGAAGTCTTTCCCAACCTTAATGATCCTATGATTCCATTTTTTAATTTTTATTTTTTAATCAGATCAATGTTTAAAGCGATAATTATGGATTTTGGAGCTTCTTTGGAGCTTTGAGGTCACCTTCGTGGCAGGGAGGGAGGGACCTGGCAGGATGTCTTCTTTCACAGAGACAAGCATCACTTCTAAGATCTTTACGTTGAAGTTAGGATAGAGGTATAAGGTCTTACATTTGCCTTCTTAAAGATAAAGCACTTGGAAGAGGCCAGAAAGAAGATTGAACGTTACCACCAACAGTTGAAGCAGCAGTTTGTGAAAGAACAGGAGAGAAAAACAGCCCGGTGGAAGAAGGCATCAGAAAGGTTTGAAAAATCCCTGGAGGTGTTCAGCCGCAGAGGTAGAAAGCCGTCTGCCCCTGCTGCTGCGGCCGGGCTGCGAGCAAAGGGACGTGAGAAGGGATTGGGAAAAACATCCAGAGAGCTCCTCCCGCAGGCTGTGCTGATCTGACTGCTGTGTTTCTCAGCTGCTTGCTTGGATTTTCAGCTCGTCCTTCCTGGAAGCCAGTGCTCAGCCTGCTGCAGCAATAAACAGCACCATCCCTCGCCGTCGGGTTCTGCTCCTTTCATATAGATGAGGCTGATGTGGGGGCATGGGCTGAGCAGCAGCACAGCCGTAAGAGGCAAAAAGCCTTCCAAAGGATTGCTTTCCTCTGAGGCAATAGAAAAGTAATGGAAAGCCACTAGAAGATTTTTGGGGGCTTGTCTTGGTCTCTCCTTCCTGTGCCTTTAGAGAGGATCCAAAACATGTGTCATGGCTGCTTGGATCAGAGAGCCAGAGGGTGCAGACAAACCCCTCACTGGAAAAAGAAGAAAGTTTGGTAACTTAAGGCACTAGGGAGAAAAAACAACAAGGAATGAGGTATTGAAGAAGGATCCCTCAAGGTGCAGAAGATCAAGTAGATTTTACTGACTTTCCTCTGTCCTTATCCAAACCAGGGATATTCGGAGTAATGGTAGAATCCCCAAAGCAGGATGGAGTTCAGCTTATGGACAAACCACAGCACTGAAGGTATTTACCCTGATTGCCCACCCTGGTTGCTGCATTGCTGCAGCACAGAGTACATTCTGCTTTTCCTTAAGAGATTCATACGCTTGTTTTTAAAATCCTCAGCATCAGGACAGCACACCTGGCTGGGTTGGACATGATACATTTCTTCTTTCATGCTGGCACTGGGGACAGGCTGGTGTCTGCCTACATCGATTAGCTTGAGCAGCTCTATAAAGCAAGAAGTGTGGTGAAAAACATGGAAGTGCCAACAAGCAAATAACGCTGCACAGTTTTGGAGGAGCTGAAGGCTGTTAGACTGGGGTGGGTTCTGCTGGTTGCCTCTGGGTCTTCCTTGTTGGAAAACATTGGGAGAAATGGGGAAGTTTAACACTGAGCATGGGCTCCGAGTTTGGTCCAGACACCAGATTTGTGTGATCAAATCATGCTGGCGCTGCACCCTTTGGCACGCTGGGTCTGAGTGCTGGCTGATTCCCAGACCTGGCCGTGCAGGAGCTGCTGGCAAGGCTTTCTGCTGATCAAAATAACGTGCTGTGATCTCAGTGCCCCGACAGCTCCGGGGACCTCTGCTGCCTGCAGCCGACTGCAGAGGGTGCGGGTGGCTGAGACTGGAACCAAAGGCAGGATAAATCCCAGCAGCAGCCAGCACTGCCAGGATCCAGCTCCCACCCGTAGCAGCCAGAGATGCGCGCACGATGCCGTCCCTCACCGAAGAGGCTGCAGGGACAGGAGGCTGCAGCGTTGTTCAGACGAGCAGCTCCCGACCAAAGCCCCACGTGGGCAACAGCGGGTGCGCACAGGCTGACAGCTGGGAGCCGCTTGGTTCATAGAATCCTAGGCCGGAAAAGACCGCTAAGATCATGTAGTCCGACTGCTGACCGAGCCCCGCCACGTCCCTCAGTGCCGCATCCCCACTCTTCTCGAAACCCGCCGCAAACAGCGACTTCGGCCACTGCGCCTTTGTGCCTGAACCCACCCGCTGCCACCGCCCCCAAAATGGCCGCCCAGCGACGTCACGGCCTCTCCTCGCTTTTCATTGGACAGTACCGCTGTCCGTCAAGCGAACGAAGACGCTGAGTGGTTTCAGGGCGTCGGGAAAGAGCCCGCCCCAGCGCGCGGGTTGCCTAGCGACCGGGGGACGCCGGCGGCAGTGCGGTCCGGTCGGCGGTGAGCGAAGTGCTGCAGAGCTGCAGTCTGATCTCTGCCTCGGCTGCTGCTTAGGAGCTGGGAGCTCTCGTCGCACCGGCTTGAAAGCCAGGAGCCCCTCGCTTCCCTCCCACGGCTGCGCTCCCGCTGCTTGAGAGCCTCCCGGGGCAGCGGTCAGCCCTGCTGGCAGCCCCGTGCCTTCGTGGTCTTACACTGAGGGTCTGTGTAGGAGATGCTGTGTCTCTTCTAGACCTGAAAACAACGAAGTCTCAAGTGTTTAATGGGAGCTGTGTTCCAGCTGTGCTCTGAGTATCAGTGCAGGACACAAAGGAAAGAAACAAATCGCTGGTAATGGGCACAGAGGCTGCAGAGAAGGCAATGAAGGCAGCAGGTGCCGTGAAGGCGTTAGATCTGCGCTGGTTGAAACCTAATAGCATTGAGACAGAAAGAATCCTATCTGTCTTGGATGAGACGATTGCCAAGCTGGAGCTGAGCTCCTTGATCCCACGTATTATCGGCTCTCTGGACAGGTTTGCTGATCTGCTGGGACCTGAGATCACAACCAACCTGATGGAGTACCAGAAGCTTTCAAAGCAAATGGAGCAGCTGCTTGCCGCTGCTGAAGAAGAGGACACCACCAATCTCCACTTGCTGGGACAACATCTGAAATGTTGTGTTAGAAATATCCTGAGACTCTTGTTGGCCATCCCTTCACTTTGTAAGGCTCTGAAACACGAAGTTTGGGCACGAGAGCCGGGAACTGAAGCATTTCTCAAAGCCTTCGGGGAGTTCAGGAATTTTATGCTTGAGCGACTCCTGACGAGTCCTACAGAAGAGGAAGAAACGGTTCGGCTCATGGAAGACATCTCCCTCCGCATCAACAGAAACACTGAAACAATCACAGCTCTGCAGGCAGAACTGGCAGCAGCAATCAGGACCCGCGATGAGGAGGTATGGCAGTGTGAGAAACGTTTTCTGACAAAGGGTCACTGAAGCAAAACTTCAGTAAGCTGAAAAACAATCCCTTTCCTGCAGGTCCTAAAGAGGAGGTTCCAGAAACGATTTCTAAATCAGATTCTAAATGTAATTTGAAAATGTTTATTGAATGCTTCATGTTTAAGCTTGGCGTGTTTTGAACCTCACAAGCCACCTTCAATGGCACAAGTTACTGAGCTTAAAAGGGAGCTGCAGGACAGGCACAGATGACTGCAGTAGTATTTCAGCAGAGCTACAGTGTCAGCTGCCAGAGAGAGGCTCCATTCACTGCTGGTGAAATGATGGAAAGTCATTCTAGAGAGAGATTGTTCCGATTAAAATCTATTTTTCCATGCCAGCTCTGCTTTCACTCTTAAAACTAATATTTCTGAGACTTCCAAGTCTAATGCGAGCTACCTTGGAGCATTTATAATTAACGTGTGATGATATAATTTCTTTCTTTTTTTTCCCCAGTGAAGGCAGCTGAGGTATGGATTAGCTAATGGGCATTTCCCAGGCTCTTCTCGTGAGTCTGTGGGTTGAGCCAGAATTCAAGCCCTGGGCTCCTGACAAGCAATCCCTTGTTTTATGTGTGTGCTTGTCTTTCTGCAGAAGGGGTCAGAAGGGAAGGTTTTGTCCCAGGCTCACTGCACTGAATGGCTCTGGTGGAGACGAGGGCCTGCTTTCCCCTTTCCCTACCACTCCTGGGAGATCTGTGAATTGAGACACATGAGATTTTTATGTGTATTTTGGCAGCTTGTCAGTGCATAACAAGCAAGTGTGTTTCACTGCTCCAGCTGAGGATCCCTCTTAGAGGCGGCCCTCTGAGCTGTGTCCCCCAGGCAGTCACTCCAAGCCTTACCTGAAACCAAAGGGATGATCTTGGCTCCTAGGGAGACACAGCAGGCTTCTTCAGCCTGCAGTGTCAGTGAGCCTGACACTCACCTCCACCTTTGCAACGGTGTCTTTTTCCTCCTGACCACTTTATGCTTCACCTGCACCCCCTGATGACATTTCCTTCTGGTTTTCTGGGTCTAGATTCAGAACAAAGACAATATGATCAAAGATCTCAAAAACAGCATGGAAGTTCTAGAAGAATGCTGCAAGAACAACATCCTGCAGGTCAAGTGGGAAGGCGAAAAACAGCAAAAAGAAGAGCTGCAAGCTTCCCAGGCCAGGTGTGCCAGGCTACAGCAGGACATTCAGCAGCTAGAAACACAGCTCAATAAGCAGGTGCTGGAGCATCGAGCATCAGAGTCGGCTCTCAGAAAGGTAAAAGGTAAAACCTGTTGTAGAGCTGCCAGGTCTGGCTGCAAGTGGTTGTTCTGTCCCTGCCTTTTCCTGGACGCACACGCTGCTTGTCAGTGTACTGTGCTGCCCTCGTGCTGATTTCAGCAGAAAGCAGGCCTGCCGTGCTGCTGGGAAGCTCACAGTTCCTTCTCTTGTTCCCTAGCTCTGGAAACTCCCCTGAGTAGTGCTGTGACACTGCACAACAGAGAGCTTGTGCTCTAGTCAGAGTTCAGAGGCTGGGCGGTTGACAAAGCATCAAATGCATGTTAGAGCCACTGTTCAAAATCCAAGCTATCCAACTGCACCTCCATTAATGCAGTGGCTCTTTTTTTTTTCTTTTTTTGGGCAGGCAGGCTGTTGCAGTGATCGTTGTGAGGAGTTGCTCAGCTCATGCAGAGAGATTTACTGGCCACAGAGATCCTCCTTTCCCCTTCCTTGTCATGTGCTGCACCCCTGAGCGGCCTGAAATCTACTTTGTCGTGCCAATAGCTGAGAAGTGCCTCATCTGACCTCCTAGGATGGCTTGGAAGCCCGTGGGCCAGTGTCATACAGGAAATCATGTGGCTTGTGGCAGGCTGTGGCTGATCTTTCTCTCGGAGTACAAATACAGCATATTTGGTTATAGTACAGGGTTAGGCTGCTGTTAAACTGTCTTACACCTAGAAATACGGCTTAGTTTTAAGAGGCTCCATATTTGTAGGGCTTTCATGTTTACTATTTCTCCATTACTTCAGTTCCAGGGTGGTTGGCCCAGTTTGTGGATGACTTGCCTCATTCCATGAGAGGTTTTCATTTCCTACCACAGAACATGCCTTTCTGATGGCTTTCAACCCTCAGCCCTCATCCAGCTCTGTACCATAGAGCTGATAAGGTGCTTTAGGACTCAGGCAATGCAGGTCTGTTCCATAAGAATCTCCAAATCAGGAGCAAAATATAGGTCAGCTGAAGCAAGCTTGCCAAAGGGAGGAGATATTCTACTCAAATATAATGATGCTAGAGCTCAAAGCTATGATGCTGTTTTCTAACTCAGGATTTTACACAGAATCATGGAATCACAGGGGTTGGAAGGGACCTTTAGAGGTCATCTAGTCCAACCCCACTGTGAAAGCAGGGTCCCTACAGCAGGAACAGGAAACATCCAGGTGGGTTTCAGTATCTCCAGAGGAGGAGATTCTGCCACCTCTGGGAAGCTTGTTCCAGGGCTGTGTCACCCTCGAAGTCCAGAAGTCCTTTCTCATGTTCCAGTTTGTGCCCGTTGCCCCTTGTCCTGTCACTGGGCACCACCAAAAAGAGCCCTGGCCCCATGCTAACTGAGATATTTGTAGGCATTGGTAAGACTCCTCTCAGCCTTCTCTTCCCCAGGGTTCTCAGCCTTTCCCCAAAAGGGAGATACTCCGTGCTTCTCATCGTTTTTGTGGCCCTCTGCTGGACTCTCCAGCAGTTCCATGTCTGCCTCGAAGTGGTGAGCCCAGAACTGGACACAGTGCTCCAGATGTGGCCTCTCCAGCGCAGAGCAGAGGGGAGCAGAACCTCCCTTGACCAGCTGGCCACATTCTTTGTAATGTACTTTTAGATACCATTGGCCTTCTTGGCTCCCAGGGCTCAGTGCTGGCTCACGGTCACCCTGCTGTCCGCTAGGACACTCAGGTCCTTCTCTACAGCGCTCCTTCCCAGCAGCTCAGCCCCTAACCTGTACTGATGTGCACAGTTATTCCTCCCTGGGTGTAGGATTCTCCACTTTCCCTTGTTGAACTCCATCGGATTCCTCTCTGCCCAACTCTCAGTCTGTCCAAGTCTGGCTGAAGGCAGCCTTATGGTGTGTCCGCCATTCCTTAGCTTTGTATCACCAAGCTTCAAGTGCCTGCAAGTAACCTGTCTTGTTTTGTTTCAGAGAAAATGCAGAGTGGAGACGGAAATTCTGAACTGGATCCAGGCATATGACACAGACATGGCAGAAAAGCAGGTATCCTCCCGAAAGCATCACTGCCATGAGCTGACACAGTCAGATGGATCCCTACTGAATGGACATTTGGCTCTCACACAGGAGGCTGTGGATGTGAGGGGCAGTTCTCCGTCCAGTAGATGTATGGGCATTGGAAAGTATCATTGTCCTAACTTTGTGTGGCAAAGTTCTCTGCTGCTTTTATTTTAGAAAAGGTTGCATCCCATGCTGAATCCTGCAGAATCTGGGGGAAGAAGAAGTGCCACATTCTGTCAGATGAAGACCTCCTGCTGTTAGGGAACACTTTCACTTTTGCTTCAATTCTCAGTTCCGTCGGCCCTGTCTGGAATCCAAATCATGCATCCATATCCTCTGTCCCCCTCAAGAGATGCCAGTCAAGTGCTAAAAAACTTTACAGCCTGCATGCCACTGTCTTGGTATCCATGTTAACCACAGCAGGCTGAGAAGTGTGTCAGCACTCCCTAACCTCACCTCTGAGATGGCCTGAGTTACTTTCATGTACCTGACCTTTTCACAGAGATGAAGGAAAGCTACTGGATTATTGGCAAAGTAAAATGTAGAGGGGGGTCTAGGATCTGAATGCTCATTCTTAGAAATGATCCTATGATTCCTCCCTTGTCAAGTGTTTAGTAATGTCCAAGTATCCTGGTTTTCTGTCTGCTGACTGGCTGCAGCATGATGTCCCAGCAGATTTGGGCAGAAATTGCTAGGACACACATCCACGTTGCTGGTTCCTGTAACCTTCCACTCGGCATTGTTAAAGGAAAGGAATAAAGTGCTGCTGAGTTCTGCAGTACAGTTAAACCATTAAAACCCTTGGCGTTTTGCAGGCTGGTACGATCTGGCTTTTCAGTGGAACATTTTTTTTTGCCCAGAGCATATGCAGGAAGGGCTCTGACCTGTGGCTCTGTCAGGCTCCCAGCTGAGGATGGATGCTGTCTGCAATGCAGGGAGAATCAGGAGAGTATTTCTTCAGAGCAGCGTGAAGACATTAGGACCTGGCTTCTCTTGAAATTCCATGGGTACTGGGAACATGCCTCCTTTTCAGTCCCTTTGGAAAGGTTCGCTCAGCTCCCGTTCCAGGTCTGCCTGGATTCGGGAAGGGTAAAAGAACCCTTACCTAGTGATGTATAGGGAGAAGCTGCTGACTGCCCTCAGTAATGCTGTAGCTGGTATTTACCTATTGTCTTGGCAGGCTGAGTTTGAGGAGGTTCATGCTGCCTACAACAAGGAGAAGGCCGAGCTGTCCCTGCTGATGGAGAAACATGCCGTGCTTCTCCAGGAGTATTCCCAGATTGAGGAGGAGCGCAGGGTAAATGAGGAGAAGAAGAAGCAGGCTTTGGAGAAATTGGCTGTCATGACCCTCGCTGCCACCCGCATCCAGGCCTTCTGGAGAGGCTACTTGATCCGGTCTACCTTCAAGCCGAAAAAAAAGAAGAAGGGCAAGGGCAAAGGCAAGGGCAAAGGCAAGAAGGAAAAGAAATAATCACAACATCTATTTCCTCTCCTGTCAAAGTAGCTGACTTCTTTGAGACAGAGCACTTCCAGATAAAAGCATTAGGGTTGAAATAGCATTTGCAGTAAGGCCCAAACGGTCCAGGGCTGGAGCTGCCTCATGTACTTTGAGTATAACAAAGTTTTGGCATGGAGACACGTCGCACTGTTTCAGGTTTAGCTTTGCTAGCTCTGAAAGATGGAGGAGGTCTTGTGGTGAAGGGACTGGGCTAGGTGTACCAAACAGTGGCTTCTCTCCAATTCTGTTGTTACTGAAGGTGGGAATAAAATCATTCCTGGGAGTGGGATGAAGTTTTTCACCTGGCTCCATTTCTGCTTGTGTGCATCTGAGAGAATGTTTCCCTTTCCACACAAGGAAGCTGCAGGATCACTGCTGATCCACAACAGAACTGACACAACAGGGCCAGTTTCAACAACGTGCTTCTCCTTGGATTCTCCAAGTGTTCGATGCCCTGTGAGCACACTGTTACCTTTCCCTTTCACAGAGGCGTGAGTCAAACGTGTTTAACTCTTCCCTGCCTCTCATTTTCAGTAGCCATGTAGCAACTTCATACCAGAGTTCTTCGCTACTCTGCCCCTTAGAGCTGAAACTGGTCATGGATACAATTGCACAGAGCGCTTTGTCTTACATGTTTCATTTTCTTGCTGGAACTAGGCTGTTCATGTTACAGTATGGCACTTCCACTCGCATTCTCTTTACATTTGACAAGTCCGGGAACTAATGGCTTTTGGATCCAGGTTCCAATTGACAGTTTTGCATTCCCTGACTTTGGAGTTTCTTCACTGCAGATTGTTTTCCCAGGACAGCGCAGTGATGCTGGGTGCAAACCCCCAACAGCCACCTGTCCTTTTTCTCCCTCTCTACCTCTGTTCATAAATGGATATCTATAGCAAATGGATCATGATACCATGACACCGAGGCAGACAGGGACCGTTTTGCTAAGTGCAAGAGTCCCTGGAGATGTTCAGGCCCTGCCAGATTTTCCTGGGTTGTTTATTTGTTTAAAAGCATGGGGTCACTGTGACATATCCTCAACATGCTCAATACGAATCACAGGATTTTTGCCATCTGTGTAGTCCTGCGCAGGTTGCCAAGCACATCCTGAAATCACTCAGGCCTGGGCTCAAGGATGTGACAGGCAGGATCAGGTGAGACTCCTCTCTACTCAGGCATGATCTAAGGATGTTTCTTCACTTCTTTGCAGCCACAAGAGACTCTAAGCTCTGTGGAGACTTTCAGAAGTTTGCACCCATGTGAGTAGTATGGTTATGCTTACGTCAAGAGGGATGTTTCATCTCAGGGTTTGATCTTACAAACACCTACAGCCCTTGAGATCCTGGCCAAAAATCTGGACATGTTTTTTTCAAACTTTCAGCAGAGGACACGGTGTTGTAGGGGCTGATTTTGATGTCTTCCAGTCCAAATTTGTCTAAAGCCTCCAGAGGTTACCTCCAGTGTATGGGAACTGTTGAAAGGCCTGCAGCACTGATGGAGCACCTGGGAGCACAGGTGAAGGCAATTCAGCTGTGATAGGAAGGGATGGAGCCTGGCTGCACCTCTCTTAGGCCTCATTGAAGGGCTGGCTGCGCCTGGGGGAGGATCTCTTTCTGGAGATCTTTCCTTGGTGGAGCTTTCCCCCTGGGCTCTCCTGATAGGGGTGAGCAATCTTCTTCCCTTTATAGCAGCTCTCTGTTGCGCCAGTCCTTTTGTTATCGCACCTTTGTTGTAATGCTTTTATAGTCCGTGTTTCTCTCAGGTTGCTTTCAGGTAGTGGGCATGCCCTTATGAACTGTCTCGGTTTCTGCTGGTGCTATTGAGGGGAGTCTGATGGGAGGAAGCGTTCAACCAGATTCAGGAGAGCAGCGAAGCTATGTGCAGAGTCTGGCTGCGTCCTTTTTTCACCTGAGGATCTGGACCAGGCAGCTCCTAAGGCTCCAAGCCAAACGTTCTCATTGGAGATGCCCCAAAGCTGGTGTCAGGGGCCTGGTGAGGCATCTCTTCCATTGCTGCTCCACGTGGCTGAGCCCAGCTTCTAACAGCCCTCGTTCACGGGACTTCGTTCCTGCAAACTGCCAGAGGCGCAGGTGATCAGCGAGCTGTGATGTGATTAGTGGGATAAGAGCAGATCAGCCAGATCAGGGAAAGGAGATCCCCGCCTCTGGGAGGGAGGAGGCACAGAGGAGAGCGCTGTTGGGGTGACCGAGGTCCTCGTGGTGCTTCGTTGGGCCCTGTGCGCAGAATGAGGGACCTGGAGGCGAGGGGCTGCCGCTGCCTGTTCCAGCACCACGGGGAGTGAGATCCCGGGCAGCCTGATCGGGTGTGGGATCCGGGGGGCCGTAAGTCCCCTTCTGACACAAACTACGCTGTGATTCTGCAGTTCTGTGATTCTAAGAAATGCCACGCTGCTGAGGGGGCGCGTGGGGCCGCAAAATGGCGGCGGGAGCAAAATGGCGGGGGGCTGCGGGATGCCGCGCCCCGAGAGGCTGAGGGGCCGCGCGCCCTTCCCGCCCCGCCGCCAGGGGGCGCTCTCGCCGCGCGCCGCCTCACGTGCCCGCCTCCTCTCTTCGCCCCCCCCCCCCACGTTCTCCGCATGACGCACCGCGGCGCCGCCCCGCGCCGGTGCCGGCAGAGCGCAGCGCAGCGTTTCGGGGCGGCGGGGCCGCGCCGCGGGTTCTATGGGGAAAGCGGCCGCGCTGTGCAGCGGCAGCACCCGCGGGCTGGTCTCACTGCTCAGCGCCGTCCCTTGCTTGGCTTGCCACGAGCTGCCGGGCTCCGGTCGCCGCGCCATGAGCGCCGAGACGGCGGGTGCGGGGAGCCGGGGCGGCGGTGGCGGAGCGGCGGCGGGGGGAGCGCCTGCAGCGCCGGGCTCCGACACCTACAAGGGCTGGCTCTTCAAGTGGACCAACTACCTGAAGGGCTACCAGCGCCGCTGGTTCGTGCTCAGCAACGGGCTGCTCAGTTACTACAGGTACCGTGCCCGTCTCCTCGGGGTGGGATGCGCCGGGCTCGGGGTTCGCTCGCAGCCGTTTGGGAGCGGGGTTGGTGTACGGCTGGTCGGCGTTCTGTAGAGGTTTATAGCTCTGAGTTGCTCCAGGTGTTGTCTGGAGGTCCGTTGAGCTGAATGGAGCTTTCCCTTTCCCATCCCAAATTCAGCCCCTCTCTGCCCTCCTTGGTCGCCCCGTGCTGCAGGCAGGTTGTGGGTCCCAGCTCCTGATGGAAGCAGCCCGGCTCCTGGCAGAAACTCGACGCGAGTCCTGAGGTCAGCCCTGGGCTGTCAGGGGCCATAAGCGTACCGTGGTGTGTCTGCCCGCCTGCAGCTTAACCCCAAGCTCAGAGCTGCTCCCTATCCACAGCCCTGCAGTGACCCTGCAGTCTGCACCGTGTTTGCACGCTCAGCGTCCAGACACGGCCGGGCAGAGCTGTGCCTTTGGGTCAGTGGCTGAAGCTCAGTGCTCCGTTTGTAACCACGTCAGAATATTGTCTTTGTATGGCTGCCAGGTCTGTCACGAGCAAACAAGTGGCTTTCTCCAGCAATTGCCTGAGAGTTGTACAGCTAAGGTTATTTTAAGGCAGTTTTACGTGTTTTAGGCTGAAACGACAGAAAGCTCCCAGGAAAGTGAGTTGGCAGTGTTCTGTAGAAGGGCTTGCAGCCCTGCAGCCGCCGATGCTTTGTGGAGCGTTGTTGGGAGGGCTGCCTCTGACACCAGGAGCTCCTCAACCTTTCCCCTCATTGAGCCCAGAGAGAGCTGAGTTAACACAGCTGTGGGGCAGGAGTGTGAGAGCAAAGCACAGAGCATGGGGGGAAGTTTCTCCTAAACAAGTGGGAGGGAGATCTGCGATGCTTTTCAAAACCAGCCCTGTTAGAGGGCAGCCATGCCGACCCTGCTGGTGTCAGCTAGGCTTGCTTGTGGCAGAAAGCTTCACAGAATCCTGGGGAAATGGGCATTTGTTTTTCTTTTAAGAGCTGTTTTTAGCTGCCTGATAGCAGCAAGGAAGCGCCAGGTATCAGGCAGTGTGTTTCATCCCTCGTTTATGTCAGGAAATTGCTTGATTGTTTGTTTGACTGGCAAAGAGTCTGAGTTTGGATCCGAGTTCTGGGGAAGCCCTGTGCTGCTGTGAGCCACATCTCCTGTTGTCTGCTGGGTCTTTGTGCTCATCCCTGCTCTGTGGATGCATGCTAGAATTTTCTGCTTCTGTTTGTGCCACCAAAGGCTGCACAGGTTAAATTGTAACCTTGCAGGTACCACGCCGTGCTGTCCTCTCTGTGGCTTTTGGCACCCGTGCCATTTGAATTTTGGAAGACTGTTCTCCTGATGCACTGCCTTGATGATACAGGTTGGGTTTTCAGGACTGGCTTGAGGAAGGTGGTAAAACTTCATTCTGCTTGTCAGCTCCATCAAAACACTGTTCCTTGTTGCCTAAGTGGCTTCCTTGAGTGTATTGATTTAGCTGCAGACTGAAGCTTTTCTTGTTTCAACTTCCTGCAGTTCTCTGCTTAGCTTAGCAAGGGGTGAGGAGATGGGGAGCTGCACAGCAAAATTGTTGACCTGGAAAGGATCCCTGGTCTTTGGAGTGACCTCCTCCCTTCCAGATGCTGTGTGCAGGGATACAAGACTCTGCTGCTCCTGCTTGGGCTCTGCTCTGCGGGGTGGCTGAGGTTGGACTCTGATAAAGGCAGCTGTGTTTCACAGGGGTGTGCTTGAGTAGTTAAAATACAGCTGAGAAAGGGTGGGACTGGGCACGGCAGGGGGCACACTGCATGAACTTCATGCACATCAGCCTTCTTCCTGGGACTTAATTACAGGACAGCACCTGGAGCATTGCTGGTCCTATTCAGCCAGGAGACTCATCTGCAGGAAAACCACCACGACTTTCTCATTACTTCTGAATGACTGGCATTTGGAAGGTTGCTTCTACATCTTAATAGCCATTGACTGTCTCTTTTAGGCTGTGGGGTATTTTGGCTGACTTGGAAGTCCACAGCACAGAGGTGATGTTGGTGTTGGGAAGCAGCGTTCAAGCACGGCACAGCTACTTGTCTCATTAATGAGCAAAGCTCTCTTTCCTAACAGTACTGGCAGGTTGCCACTTGCAGATTTATCACTATCTCTAATTGGTGTGTATATAGGAGAACTTAATCACCTTGAACAGGTACAGGTTTTCAAGGAGAGTATCTATAGGTAAGTATTAATTCATCAAAGGTTAGCATTGGCACCCGAGGTTCTGGGTGTGGGCTGCCTTCTCCATAAGCTTGCTCTTATTTCAGCTTGCTCGAGTTTCGTGCTGTCTCCTCTACAGGTTTGGTGCCTTAAAGCAGTGCCAAATAGGGGGGGGGGGGGGAGGTATTTCATGCTGTGTCTAATTTGCTCATAGTTATGATGCAAAAGGCTCCTGGCCAGCTCGCGGCCTCAGCTCCCCTTTCAGTGCTGGGCAGTGCTCCTGCAGGAACGAGCTGGTGCCTGGAGCAGATTAGCTGTCCTGCCTGCCCTGCCCTGCCGTGGCAGCTTGCTTCCCTGGAAAAGCTGCTTCCCAGAACAGGCTTCTTCGCATAGCTCTGTTTATCCGGCAGTTAACTCTTGCTTAGCATTTTAAGATCTTGAGTACAACCCAGAAGGTTCTTTTCTGGCTCCAGCTGAGAGCTGTGGCAGGGAGCTCACTGAGAATCACAGAACTGGGGGCTTCCAGAAGATGCCTCTGGTCCTGACCCCCCTGCGTGATGCAGGGCCCACCCTGTGAACACAGCCAGGACCTTTGGCTGCTGGGCTTTGACTTTACCCCCAAGGTATGAGACTGCACAGCCTGTGCAGGCCCCTCTGCCAGTGTGGGATTGCCCTCTGTGTTGAAATGTCTTCCTTATACTTAATCTTCACGTAATAAAGTGAAGGGAGAGGTACCTCCCTACAGTGGTTTTATAACAGCTCATCTCTGCAAGCACAGAAGTAGCTGAGTGTCCTTGACCACTTTTCATCCTCCAGGTGATGGAAACGTGCAGGTTTTCAAGACAGCCCTGTGGCTGCGTGGTAACTCTGAGCTACTTGTATTTAACCAGCATTTTTGTGATGCTTGCTCCCAGTCATCTTGTTTTCACAGGATGCTTGCTTTATCCATATGGTGCTGTGCTGTTAATCACTGTTCATTTTTCTGTTTTTGAGGAATCCCATCTTGGTGCTTTGTAACCAGAGACGCAATGCAAGTCAAAGCAGTGCTCAAGCTGTCAGTTTGCAGACCAGGTTCCTCTGTTCCCAGATTATTGCTGCATGCAGGGAGTCCCTCATCTCTTAAATCTGGTGTAATGGCCCATGTGCTTTATTGGATGAAGCTGCAGCAGAAGTGCTTTACTGCAGTAAGCTCTGCATTTTGAGGTGGCCAGAGGAGCAGTGCACTCTGTTTTTGAGGGGTGTAGGTGTAACCTGCACTGCTGTCTCGAGGTAGACTTCAGACAGCATCACACATGCTGCAGTTTTAGTTCCTGGAGACTATTGTGAGTATGGGTAGTACTTATGGGCTCACCTGCATGGGTGCCTATGGGAGAATAGTTACTGTCTGACCACTTCTGATGTCAAATGCTCCAGCTTTTATTGTGGTGTTTGTCCTCAGCTGTCCTCCATGGAGGCTGTGGCAGTTTGCTCAGGGCTCCCCGGTTTGAATTGCTTTCCATTCAGTGCACTGTAACTCACCATGGGGCCCCTCTGCTGTTTCCATGTTGCAGCAGGTTGGGCTGCTGAACCTTTCCGTATCGTATCCTGCTTGCATATTCATTACACTGTAGCTATAGGTAACTTTGGTAATTGTAGGTGACTTGAGTGCACGGTGGCATTGGAGCCCTCTGCTCCTTGCAGGGACCTCAGACCCACAGCTGATGGCAGAGCTGGAGTCGCTCTGAAACATGAGTTGTTGTTCGCTGGTGTCTTGGAAGTCCCCGCATTGGAGTGTGCTCGAAGGTGGGGCTGGTGGAGGTGTTAGATTCCCCATCAAGTCTTCATTATGCCGTTCAATTATTTTAATCGTTCTCCCATCAGCTTGGCAGGGCCCTTGATACGTTTTATTCTGACCTTTGTTTGGTTTTGATCGAGAAGCTTGTTTAATAATTAATGGCTTCATTTCTCTTTGTCTGACGACTGCAGGCGGACGGGGCGTGCTGCAGCTGGCTGCGCTGCTCCTGGGTCAGCCACTGCTGACTCACACGGCTGCGTGTGCTGAGCCTCCAGGCCCTGCAAACATCAACTGGAGAATTAAAAAATGCCTGTTTGAAGGCATGGTACGGCGGGGCTGTTGGCACAGCTCGGCTGGCAGCAGGAAGTAGAGCGCATCCCCTTGGCTCCTCGCTCCTGGTCGCGCAGTGTTGCGTCGCGCTGCTCAGCATTTGCTGTGCTGTGGTGAAATTCTGCAGCGTAAGTGTGCAGCGTGGCTTCCGTGTGCATGTCAGCAGCGAGCTGTCACGCTCCCTGCAGCAGCTGTGTGCACCCAGCAGCCCTTCCCTTCACGCTCCTTTGGGCCACGCTGCGTTCCTGTCAACCTTCCTGAGCTTTTCTTTTTTTGCCTTCCCTTTTAAATCTCGCTCTTCGAGATGGGATATTCCTGCTTTGAAATCACGACTGAATAGATGTGTGTGTGCCCACTGTGACTGTGGAGGAGGGCCTTCATTTCCTAAAAATAGTCTTAATTCTCCATGTCTTTCTAGATAAAGAGCACTGTGCAGGCATGCACAGCGGGTTGGAATGGTTTCTGCTCTGCATGGGAAGATAAATATGGTGCTGTAGGAGTCGGTGCCTTGCCTTTCCTTCTTAAACATGAAGCAGTGATGCCTAAAATCTGTTATTAGCAGCTAAAGGTTTCTGCTCAGCACTTTATAAGGAGCAGAGCAGAAAATGATGTCCTTTACACCTACTGCTTGTGTATTGCTGCTATATGCAGAAGACCTCCTTCCTCTGGGTTGGGGTTGGTGTGGATGCCTCAGCAGTGTGGCTG